AGTCAGTGAGTCAATCAAAATGTTTGTTATTGATCAATTAGTGAGGAATTCTTTAAGTAACTTTATAACTAAATTAGATGTACATCAGTTTTGGAACTTCTGTTGAGGCATTGTTTGTGAAGTTAGGCCTACCAGTGAACATAGCCTGTAACAAACGTTAAAGAAGAAATAAACTAATTTGTTATCATTACGTACACTTCAAATTATTTTCACCGCATAATCTAAAAGAACCAACTTAATGATAGAACATATTGCAAATATAGTGTCAAAAGGGGATTATCTTGGTGAAAATAAACCAGAACTGTGATTAAACTTCAAAATGAAAACTCAAGGATGAAGAGAGATCATACATATGAAATAGTTTGTTTGTTGTTAATCACAAAGCTAAATAATGAGCTATCTGTGTCCTGCCTACCACAGGTACTGGATCCAGATTTTTTAGTGTTATAAGCCCTATGACTACTGCTGAGAATGAGATAAAAAACAACAAAAGAAGACCAAGCGAAACTGATAAAAATTAAAAGAAGATTAACAGGTAAGAGAATAATTAAACGAAAGAAACATTATATTTAAAGAAAATTTAATACAAAAATTAAATCTGAACACGAGATTAATGAAATAGTCATTTTCCACATTATAGTCGTTTTTCACTGTGTTTTCAACTTTGTCCATGCTCTTTTGTACGTCTTCAATCTTATTGTTGCAACTCCTTTGTAATGGCAAAATCAAATAAGTGCAGAAAGAGTTAATGATATCGTAAATAATATCAATGACAGAATAAAACATTTGAAAAATGAATTGGTAACTGCAAAGACCAAACCAGCCACACCTCTCTCTACAACTACTCAATACTTCCAACCTAAAACTTCATTTAATATAAGATATGGAAAAGGAGAAACTATCTGTTCTACCCTTGTTACCACTATTGCTGTACCATTTGTAATTACAGGAACTTTCTGAACTACTCCAGCTATAACACTACCATGTAAAGTTCCAAAATTTAGCAGACCATATCAACAACACTGCTTTATCAAGAAACCAAAGTATGATGAAAAGGTACAATAGAATGCATGTTAGATTCATTATGAAATAATTTCCAGAGTGTATGTGTGGAATCATGAACAACAAATTACTCATCATGCTTCCGACCCAGAGAAACATTGCAACTATCAAGCATTAGTAGTTGCTTTGTCCAACAGGTTTAGAGTGGTACACGAGAAGGAAGTATCTAAAGCAAAGTTGAGGAGCAGAATACAGAGAAAAGAAGAAACTTTAGTCAAACTTACAAAAAATTTGGAAAGGCTTGCCCAATTATCGTACCTAGATGCTCCACATAAAATGATGGATTCATTGCATGTGACCAGATATCTTTAAAGATAAGGATATAAAATTAGGTTGAGGCAAAATAGGTGTACATATTTAATGGAAACTTTCTCGTTGGTAATGGAACATGAATCCATTAAAGACCCCCAACAAACAACTAAAGATGCTAATTAGAGGTCGGAGGAACACCAAATCAAGTAGTATTTAAACATATCCTCCCCTGACAATAGTCTAGAAGAACTAAAAGGATTAGTTTCCATTTGTGTACTCTGACTTTCTCTCAACTGTTGGAGACTTTCTTCTTGTTTATTTTCTTTCTCCTCCAGCCACTGCTGTAGTCTCTCTTCTTGTTCATTTTCTTTCTTCACCAACCACTGCTGTAGTCTCTCGTGTTTATTTTGCTGTTCGAGCTGCCACTGTTGCAGGTTTTCTTGCCACTGCTGTTGTCTCTTTTCTTGTTTCTTTTCTTTTTCCTCCAACCACTGTTGTAATTTCTCTTCTCGTTCTTCTTATTTCTTTTCTTTTTCCTCCAACAACTGTTGTAATCTCTCTTCTTGTTTATTTTGTTGTTCGAGCTGCCATCAAGTCTGCTAGGCTGTAGTTTGATTTGCCGCTTCTCGTTTCCATTTTTTTATCCCACTTCTGACACCAATTTGTTACGTCTCTGTATGTTTGTTTGTTAATTCTTCTAAGGTACAAGTCCTTTCTTTATAAAACTTGTTTATTCTTCCTCAATACAACTTTGTAATATACTTAATTTTCACAGTTACACACACTATAGTTCACAACAATTCACTCATTTTCTATCGCGCTTAGACTTAATTGTCCGTCCCCGCCAACTATAGTTCTGATCTTTGTGTCTGCTATCCTCAGTTCCCGCCGACCGTAATCGCTGTCTTTCTTTCTCTCTGCCTGCTTCGTCTCCGCCTCCGTCTGTCTCTCTCACTGTCTAGCACACTTATATACGATAATAATGCCTGTTCTAGAAACTTCTAAGACTCTCAACACGTGCTACCAGCGTCACTTGACTTCCGCTGTCGTAACACACTAGCTAATCTTCCAGAATACTCGTCACGTGACCCCCACTGTCGTAACAGTATTTAAATAAATTCTTACTATTAATTTTTACATTTTCAGTCAATCTTTTTCATATTCTACTTTGATTTCCTAATTTCCTTTTTGGACTTTATGGCTTCTATAAT